CCCTTTCCCCCGGTACCAGGACTGTTTTTTCTTGGGGTTTTTGTTTTTTGGGGGTTGTATGTTACCCCCTTCCCACCAGGTCCAGGGCTGTGTTTTGGTTGGAGTGGTTGTTGTTACCACCTTTCCCCCAGTACCCGGAGCTGTAGTTCTTGTGTTTGTAGTTGGTTGTATGTTCCCCCTTTTCCCCAGGGACCCGGGGCTGTAGTTCTTGTGTTTGGGGAGTGGGTTTAGTTTTCCCCCCCACCAGGGACCAGGGCTGTAGTTCTTGTGTTGGGATGTGGTTGTATGTTTTCCACCTTCCACCAGGTACCAGGGGCTGTAGTTTTTTTGTGTCTGGGGTTTGGTTGTATGTTACCCCCTTCCCCGGGACCAGGGCTGTAGTTCTTTTGTTTGTAGTGTGGTTGTAGTTACCCCTTCCCCCCAGGTACCAGGGCTTATTCTTGTGTCTGGAGTGGGTTTTATTTTCCACCCCCACCCGGTACCAGGACTTGTTCTTTTGTTGGTAGTGTGGTTTTATGTTTCCACTTCCACCGGGACCCGGAGCTGTATTCTGTTTTGGGTTTTGTATGTTTCCCACCTTCCACCCGGGACCCCCGGAGCCGTAGTTTTTTGTGTGTAGTGTGGTGATTTACCACCTTTCCCCCAGGACCAGGAGCTGTATTCTTTTGTGGAGTGTGGTTGTAGTTACCACCTTCCACCAGGTAGGGCGTAGTTCTTGTGTCTGGGAGTGTGGTTGTATGTTTCCCCTTTTCCACCAGTACCAGGACTGTAGTTTTGGTCGGATGGGTTGTAGTTCCCCTTCCCCGTACCAGGAGCTGTATTTTGTGTCTGGTATGTGGTTTTTATGTTTTCCACCCTTTAACCCGGTACCCGGATGTGTTTTGGTTTTGTAGTGTGGTTGTATTTTCCCACCTTCCCCCAGGGACCCAACTGTATTTTTTTGTCGGTAGTGTGGTTGTATGTTACCCCTTCCACCATCCAGGAGCTGTAGTTTTGTGTTTTGTGTGTGGTTGTATGTTCCCCCTCCACCCGGTACCAGGACTGTATTCTTGTGTCTGGGGTGTGGTTTTATTTACCCCCCTTTCCCCCAGTACCGGACTGTAGTTCTTGTGTTTTTTTAGGTGGTTGTATGTTACCTTCCCAGGGACCAGGACGTAGTTTTGTGTTTTGTAGTGTGGTTTTTAAATTTACCCCCCTCCACCGGTACCAGGCTGAGTTTTTTGTGTTGTATTGGTTTTGATGCCACCCTTCCCCCCAGGTTCCGGGGCTGAGTTTTGGTTTTTGGTTGTGGGTTTTATGTTACCTCCCCTTCCCCCCAGGTCCCGGACATATTTTTTTGGTTGGGATGTGGTTGTAGTTACCACCCTTTCCCCAGGTACCAGGACTGAGTTTTGTGTTTTGGATGTGGTTTTATGTTACCCCTTTCCCCCAAGGGAAACCCGGGCTGTATTTTGTGTTGGTAGTGTGGGTTGTATGTTCCATTTTTACCAGGGCCAGAGCTTAGTTTTGGTTTTGTAGTTTGGGGAGTTACCCCTTTTTCCCCCGGTACCCGGAGTTAGTTCTTTTGTCTGAGTGTGGGTTTAAAAGTTTCTTTAGTTTAAATTTTACTGTTTTATGTAAGGACCCCTTCACCCTACCCTCTACAAACATTTGTACCACCCTCCCGTACCCACATTCCCTTTAAAAATTTATGTAAACCCCCTCCCCCCCATTCCAGACGTGTTTAAAAAAACTGGAGGGTTTTGGTTTTTGAGAATATTTCAGAAAACATGAAATTGCCATTCAACTTATCTACAACAACGCTACTATTAAACCAAACCTTCACTCCTGTATCCTACTCGGGGGAGCGGGAAAAACTTAGAGCAGGCATCAGGTAGGTGTGGCTTAAGCAGGCCTTGGGTTTAAGCATTAACCCCCTTAAGAGGTCCCTGGGGAAACGGGTCGTTTAGGGGCCAACTTTGGTTTATTGTTCGGGTATTGTTTTAGGGGAAATTGTGTGTGGTGAAAGTGTGATTTGTGGAGGGGGATTAAGCCCCTCTCGGAAGGGCGTGCTTAAGCAGGTCCGGTTAAGAGGTTAACCTGGTTAAGAG